CTGTAACTATAAAACTCTTACAAATTTGCTATATATTTGAAAATTTGTATATTAAAATGTTACGGGGAAAGCTCATACACTCGGAGGGTATGTTGTTTATGGAAATCCTGTTTAAGATGTAAATACAGGAGCACCTGGGTGGCCCAGTCGGTTAAGTGTATGCCTTTGGCTCAGGTCATGATCCCAGGGTCCTGGGATTGAGCCCTGCATGGGCTCCCTGCTCGGCAGGGAGCCTTCATCTCCTCTCCCTCTGACCCTCCTCTCTGCTTGTGCTCACTCTCTCTATCAAATAAATAAATAATCTTAAAAAAAAAAGATGTAGGGCACCTGGGTGGCTTATTTGGCTAAGCGACTGCCTTCGGCTCAGGTCATGATCCTGTGGTCCTGGGATCGAGCCCCGCATTGGGCTCCCTGCTCAGCGGGAAGCCTGCTTCTCCCTCTCCCACTCCCCCTGCTTGTGTTCCCTCTCTTGCTCTTTCTCTCTCTCTGTCAAATAAATAAATAAAATCTTCAGAAAAAAAAAAGGCACCATTAAGAAAGGGAAAATAAGCTATAATGAGGGATGATATATGTAACATATGTATTTGAAAAGCACTGCTGTCCAGAATAAATGAAAAACTTCTGCATTATCATAAGAAAACAACAGAAGTTCCAGAAGAAAAATGGGCAAGAGCCTTGATTAGGCAGTTCACAACAAAAGGTTTCCAAACAATAAACATACGAAAAGATGCTCAGTTTCAGTGATCAATGAAATGGGAATAAAACGATCCAGAGATGCTAGTACACACCTAATAGAGTGTTGAAAATTACAGACTGGGATGCCTGGGTGGCTCAGTCGGTTAAGCGTCTGACTTTAGCTCAGGTTATGATCCCAGGGTCCTGGGATCCAGTCCCTCATCGGGCTCCTTGCTCAGCGGGGAGCCTGCTTCTCCCTCTGCCTGCCACTCCCCCTGCTTGTGCTCTTTCTCTCTCTCTCAGACAAATAAATAAATAAAATCTTAAAAAAAAATTACAGGCTGACAATACCAAGTATGGGTAAGGATGCAGAACAGTAGTGCTCATACACTGTGTGGGAGTATACATTTGTACAATCATATTTCTTTTTAACCAACAGAATATGGCAGAGGTGATGGGATGCCACTCCTGTAATTCTGCATTATATAAAACTTGCCAGCAGACTGTAGTTTCTAGAGTCTTCCTCTCTCTGGCACTGAAGCAGCAAGCTTTCATGAATAGTGATGTGGGGCCAGTGAGCTAATGATTAAGAAAGAATTCTTGAGGGGCGCCTGGGTGGCTCAGTCGGCTAAGCATCTGCCTTTGGCTAAGGTCATAATCTTGGGGTCCTGGGATTGAGCTCAGCATCAAGCTCTCTGCTCAGCGGGGAGTCTGCTACTTCCTCTCACTCTCCCTCTGTGCTCTCTCGTTCTCTCTCAAATAAATAAAATCTTAAAAAAAGAGGAAGAATTCTTGAGACATTTTTGGTGCAAAAAGGTGTTTTTATTATAGCACGGGGACCTATGGTCAGAAAGAGCCACGCTAGGATTGTGAGGAGCAACTGATTATATACTTTTTAGTTAGTGGGGGTTAGGGATAATGTAAGTCTCTAAGGAATTTGTGCATGTTAAAAAGCAAGGTCTCCAGGACCTTGGAGGGCTAGCTGTTAAGATAAGGTTGCTTGTAGTCTTCAAATGAAACATCAACAGTAAAGTAGCCTAGAGTTCTTGAGGAATGTCACATTCTATGTTATCTTGGGGATTTATCAGTGGGCTGCAAGTTGTAAGGAGACTTAATTTTAGTTACATTTTCTTGCCTTTGTGCTCATCAAATAGTACAGCCAAAGGAAATTAAGTTTGTCAATTAAGTTGCCAAACCTAATGGAGTTTAGAAGTAGACCCTTATTCCCCAGTTGAGTCTCCGCTGAAGACCCAGCCCTGGATAACCTGAACTCAGCCTTGTGAAACCCTAAAACAGAGAACCCAGCTAAATCATAGAAACTGAGATAATGTGTGTTGTAAGCCACAAAGTTTATGTAATTTGTTAAAGAGCATGGAAAACTAATATAATCCATTGGGAAAACAGACCTATTATGTTGGGTGATATGTACACTCAAGGACTCTGTAATTCCACTCTTTGGAATGTACACAACAGGAATGCTTGCACATGGGCACCAAGAAATATGTACTAGTACAAGAATATGCAGATAAGCATTATTTGAAATAGCCCCAAACTAGAAACAATTTAAAGAGCATCATCACTAAAATGGGAAATAGACTGTGGTGTAGTCATACAATGTAGTAATGTAATACTATACATTATCATGAGTGAACAGAAGTATACGCAATAATATGCATGAATCTCACAAAACATTTAAAAAAAATCCTGTATGAGTTCATTTCTTTAAGTCAAAAACATGCAAAATTAAACTAGTAATCAGGACTGAATACTTAGGTGGTACAAGTATAAAGAAAGGTAAAGAAGTGATAACCATAAAACCCAGGGTATTGCTCCTTTTTAAGTGGGGAGCCAGGAATCTGTGATTGAGAAAGGGTACATGGGTTGTGTGTGGGGGGTCTCATTTTTAAAAGTTGTTTAAAATTTAAACTATAGGGGGGAGCAGAAGAGAGATTCAGAGCACAGGTAGGACAAGGAGGCAGCCAGGCCATGGAGTGAAGAAACAGGACTCTGGTCCAGGTGGAGTAAGCACGAGTGTGTATGTACAGCGGCACACACATACACACTGTATGTATGGACACACCAACACACACACATAAACACATACACACCACCATGCTTTGGCACACACACCAAGGATACACATATTTGCGCACATATGCTACCATGCCATGTCATCATCCCTGCACCACGCCAGACACACACACCACATATACACCACCCACCCACCCCCACACTACACACACATCATACACATATCACACCACACGCACAATGGCCACTGCCAGATCCAGACATCTCACGGGGATCCCACGCAAAATCAGACCTTTGCTTTGCTGTGACACTTAGACAATCCTGGCATCATGTTGAACTCTGAAGGGGGCCATTGAGGGAAGCCTGGTTCTAGCTACTTATGCATAAGAAAGGAGTTCTCAGCATGGTGCCAGGTACAATGGTTGGTGCTCCATGGATAAATCTGAAGTGGCTACACAGTCACTGGCTTTCATCTTGGGGTATTAGGAAGGGCTACACTTAGCTGTGTGTGCTGACCTCCTACGTGATTTAACCCAGGGCTCCCTTAAAGAGTGGTCTCCACTGGGGGGGCACCTGGGTGGCTCAGTCAGTTAAGCACCTGACCCTTGATACGAGCTCAGGTCTTGATCTCAGGGTCATGAGTTCAAGCCGCATGTTGGGCTCCACGCTGGGCATGGAGCTACTTAAAAAAAAAAACCAAAACAAAAAAACACAAAAAACCAAACCCAAACCAAACCAAAACAAAAACAGGGGCACCTGGATGGCTCAGTCAGTTAAGCATCTGCCTTTCAGCTCAGGTCATGATCCCAGGGTCCTGGGATCAAGCCCTGATTGGGCTTCCTGCTTGCAGGGATAGAGAGAACTTAAAATCTTGGGGCACCTGGCTGGCTTAGTCAGTGGAGTGTGCGATTCTTGACCTTGGGGTTGTAAATTTGAGCCCCAGGTTGGGTGTAGAGATTACTTAAAAACAGAATCTTTAGGGGTGCCTGGGTGGCTCAGTTGGTTGTGTTCAACTCTTGGTTTTGACTCAGGTCATGATCTCAGGGTTGTAAAATTGAGCCCAGGTTGGGCTCTGCACTGGGCATGGAGCCTGCTTAAGATTTTGTCTCTCCCTCTACAAAAAAATAAATAAAAATAAAATCTTTAACAATAAATAAAATCTTTAAAAATAAAATTTAAACTATAAATTTCCCTCCTGTTGTGAAAATTAGAAAGGGAAACCTCACTAAAATGGAGTCAGGAGGCCGGAAGGGGTGGGTCTCATGCTGTACCACTTCATGTTAACCATAGGAAGAACTGTCAATTACAGTCCCCCAACAGGAAAAGATGTACATAGCATCTCCTACAAGAAATTGACTACCCAAGCAACTTAGCCAATGAGAAACTCCTCGTTACTCTCAACTCTTGCTTTTGTCCAGTTGACTCCCAACTTATTCCTTGTTTTCCATGAATAACATTCCTCTCCTTTGTTGGACTAGCCTATGGTTTTGCCATAGTTTGCTTGTCCCAAATTGTAAATCTTGGCTATTCCTCAAGAAACCTATCTTTGCTGGTAAAATAACTTATTTTTAAGGTCAACACTTTTTACATTGTATTTCTTATTTTTTAAAGAATGGTTTAAAAAGAAATGATTGAATGAATCTCCACAGCTTTCAGTTTGTAAATATACTAGAAATATTCCAGTGAGGCATTGACCTGGCATGTTTTCTTGAATGTTAGTTTTACCAACTGTCCTCCTCCCCAATAGAAACAAAAGTTCTGTGAAGGTATGACTCAAGTTAATGAATGAATGAAAGGAAAAGCATTATTAAGGTAAATGATGGTAACCACATAAAACTAAAACCAGCAATCGAAATAAATAAAAGATCTAAACATGTTCATACCTAAGGAAAGACTAAATGTCCTTTACTATTTGTCATATAAAAACAGAAAGGTTTAAAAAAATAAAGGCAACAGTCCCAAGATTAACAAGATAATACTGAAAAACTTAGAAGGGGCAAGAAAGTTTTTTAATAGTGAGGAAGGATGTATCGGTTATCTACTGCTGCATAACAAAGCACCTCCAAGCTTAGTACATCCCTGAAGCCCCTGCAAGAACTCAGAGAACAGCATTTTTTTGAGAGGGAGCTGACTGACCGGTCAGGGGTGGGCGGGCACGAGGCTCCGCCCAACAGACTCCGGGCCGTTCTGGTCCCGCCCCCAGCCCGGTCCTTCTGCCTGGCTCCTGTCCAGGGTCCCTGGAGTGGAGCCGCCGGGGTGTGGGCCCAGCTGCAGTGCCTTGGGCCAACGTTAGGACTTCTCTGCGGAGGCCAGAGGACGCGGCCACCGCCCCTCCCGCTGCCTCTGCGCTCCTAAGCCCCGCGGGAGCTGTCTACTTTCCAAGCCCCGAGACCGGAAGTGGGGGGTGCCTCCCCCGAACGGCCGCCATCTTCCCTCTAACGGCACCACGGTTTTTCTCGTTATTTGCTTCCAGCACAGAAGAGCGGCTGCAGGTGCAAGGTCCGGGAGGGAGCTGGGAGAAGGGCCTCGGGGAGGGCGGCGGGTTCTTGACGAAAGTGAGGAGGCGGGGCTCTTGGAAGGCGGGGTTTCGGTGAGGGTGGGCAAACGGGGTCGGGGGCAGGATCTCTGTGGGGGCGGGGCCCTTGGAAGGCGGGGTCTCAATGAGGGTGGATAAATGGGGCTCTGGGGCGGGGCCTTATGGGGGGTGGGGCTCTTAGAAGGACCCAACGGGGCTATGGGGCGGGGCCCTAGGGGCGTGATCTCGGCGGGGGCGGGGTCTCGGTGTCGCAGGCCGAGAGTTCGACGGCCGTTGGTCGCCTTTCTGGGTCCTTCGGTTTTTCTGAACTGGGGATGCCGTTGGTTTCGGGGGGTAAGAGGCCTTGGTGAAACTTACATCAAGGAGGTCCCTTTCTGCCTTCGTAACACAAGAGAATTTTACTTGCGGCTTGCTTTTGTGAGAAATTGTTGAGGTGAGAATATCTTAAAACTTTTTTTCGGTTAATTTGGTAAATTCATTTGGGAAAATACTTCCTCAGGATTCTAGCGCGAGTGCCAATAAGTAAGTGTAATCAAGAAAAGAGAATGAAATAGAGCAAGTGTAAATGTAAACAACAAACCTTACAATTGAAGAAAGATTATTCCGCTCCGCACTTCCCAAGTCGGCTGCACCCCCTCCGGAGCCTGCCATTGCGGCAGAGCTTTAAAACATGGGGATCTCTTACTCTCGATATTATTAAAACGGGTTTTGGTGGCATATACTTGCGGCTAAAGCCTAATAGAAGTCTGAAGCTTAAGTGAAATACATGAAATTGTGTGTCTTTAAAACACAGGGATCTCCAGGAAAAAGGAGGAAGCAGCTTTCCTAATATCGGTAGCAGAAATTAGAATTTACCAATTTTAAAAGAGATGTGTTTTGACCAAGTGGATTTTTTTTTTCTTGTGGGGAGGTTAAAAAGTCACATATGGGCAGTCGGAAGAAGAATAAATTCTGGAAGAAGTTCAGCAACACAGGCTACTTGTTTCTAAAAATGATGTTTCTCACATTTGCCTTTTAAGAATTTTTCTTAAAAGTTTCAGAAATAACACTGGTGGTTTATATTGTGGCAGGCCTTTAAGTTAATGTGTTAACGTTTGTCTTGAGCGCGCACAAGCAGGGGAAGCAGCAGGGAGAGGGAGAAGCGGGCTCCCCACTGAACAAGGAGCCCAATTCGATCCCAGGACGGACCCTGGGACCATGACCTGAGCTGAAGGCAGACGCTTAACCGACTAAGCCACCCAGGCACCCCCCCTTTTGTTAAAGATTTTATTTATTTGAGAGAGAGAGAGTGAGAGAGAGAATGAGCAGGGAGAGCAGCAGAGGGAGAGGGAGGAGCAGGCTCCTTGCTGAGCAGGGAGCCCAACAAGGGGCGCGATCCCAGGCTGCGGGGATCATGACCTGAGCCACCCAGGCGCCCCTGTGTTGCGTTTCTATTGGAGGTGTGCGCTTTCTCGATCTAGCTGTAAATGAACATTTTCCAGGGCCCGCAGAAGAAGCTCATTAAGTGCAGGGTATGAATCTGGCCTGGGCAATCAAAAGAGGCACAGTGCTGTCCCCAGAGAGTGGGCTATTTAGATCAGAAACAGATATGAAATTGATGGGGGGGGGTGTCCTGTGCCAAACAGGAGAGTTTAATATGGACAGACAGGGAAGACCTATTAGGAAGAACTGATCTGTGAGAACTGAAGGATAAGTAATACTGATTAGGCAGAGGCTTGTGGAGGGGGAGTGTCTGAGAGGTGGAAGAAGCTTCAAGTGCAGAATCCCAGAGGCAGGAGAGCCTGGTGTGTTGGATGAACGGAGGAAAGAGAGGCCTGACCAGACTGGGTAGGGAGGGTGTTAGGGGAGGGAGGCAGGATGCTTTGGGACTTTTTTTTTATATATATGTACAGCTGTCATCTATGAATAATGACAGTTATGTTTATACCTTTCCAATCCTCAAACTTTTCATTTTTTTTAGCTTTATCGCCCTGGTGGGACCTCCAGTACCATTACCACATAAAGTGGCGATGGCTGCCATCCTTGTCTTTCCTCAGATTGAAAGCCAGAATTTTTCAACTTTTCACCAGTAAGCTGTAGTTCCTTATTTTAAAATAAAACTTTTTGTTTGGAAACCGCTTGAAGCTTATAGGAGAAAACGTTACCAAAATAGTACAATGAAATCCCATTTGCTCTTTCTCTAGATTCAGCATTTGTTTTTTGTTTTTGTTTTTGTTTTGTTTTGTTTTTAAAGATTTTATTTATTCATGAGAGACAGAGGAAGAGAGAGAGAGTGCGGGAGAGAGAGAGAGAGAGAGAAGCAGGCTCCCAAGGAGCAGGGAGCCCGATACGGGACTCGATCCCAGGACCCTGGGATCATGACCTGAGCCGAAGGCAGACGCTTAACCATCTGAGCCACCCAGGCTCCCTAGATTCAGCATCTGTTAATATTTTGCCACATTTCTTGTATCTCTATACATATAATAATTACTGTTTTTGCTCGATCATTTGAGAGTCAGTTGCGGAAATCATAACCCTATACTTCTAAAGACCTCAGTGTGCATATGTCTCCTAAAAACAGACATTCTCTTTTATAACCTCAGTCTAATTACCACATTCTGGAAGGTGTAGGTTTTTTAAAAAACTGTCTTCTGGTAAAGATGTTCCCTTCTTATTTAACTTTTTTTTTCAAAGCCATGGAATAGTGATTTTATCGAATACTTTTACTGAATATATTCAGGTGATTATATGATTTTTCTCCAGTCTACAAATGTAGTGAATTCTATTAAGTGTTTTCATAAAGATCCTAAACCTAACTTGGATCCCTGCATGGTTGTGGTGGATTCTCCTGCTCACTAGTACATTCAGTGTGTTAATACCTTCTTTCTGCTCTTTGCACTTACGCTCATGAATGAGTTGAGCTCCTTATTTTCCTTTCTTGTAACTATTATTATTCAGTGCCTCCTTGACTTAAGTTGTTTTTTTTTTTTTTTTTTTTTACTGTCGTTCGGTTTCTGAGAATCCCATGACTGGCTCTCTTCTATGGCCTGGTGGGAACTGAGTTTTTTCAGAAATTGTGTGCTTGTGCTTATGTTAGTTCCTTGCCTGAGGTGTTTTGGACGACAGAGGTGTTGTGATTTGGACCAATACTCATGGGAGAGTGGAGTTAACGTTTGCAAGCTCTCAGAAGAGTTTTTTCCCAGTAACCCAGCACTAAGGCCAGAAGAACCCTGGTTATCCTCCTGGTTCTCATTCAGCAAGCATTCCCACCAGGGGAGGGCAAGGAGGTGTGTGAAAGGCCAGAGGTGGGAGGGTCTCACCTGCTGAGATTGGAATTTGGACTGTGTGCTGTATCCAAAGGAGGCATTCTAGAAGTTCTTAAACTGGGAAGGGGCACAATCAGATTTGTAGGCTTTTTTCCTCCCTCATAGAATTCTGTTGACCTCATGGAATATTATTATTATTATTTTAAATGTTTTATTATTTATTCACGAGAGTCAGAGAGAGAGAGAGAGAGAGAGAGAGAGAGGCAGAGGCAGAGGGAGAAGCAGGCTCCCCGCCTAGCAGGGAGCCCGACGCGGGGCTCGATCCCGGGACTCCGGGATCATGACCTGAGCCGAGGGCAGACGCTTAACCATCTGAGCCACCCAGGCGCCCCCTCATGGAACATTATTAACTGTTAGGCATAGAGATACAAGAGAGCAAAGGAAATCAGTCTGTAAACATTGGAATCTTCTAGGCAGGAGGTGATAAAAGCCACAATTTGGGCACATTCTATGCCATTTACAATGATGTTGCCTTTCTAATGCACAATGATGTATGCTTCGTACCATCTAAAGAATGTAAGATTATGTGGATGTATTTCATAAGGCTGTAGAGGTTTCATTTAAAAAATTCTTCCTGGGGCACCTGGGTGGCTCAGTCGGTTGAGCATCTGACTTTTTTTTTTTTTAAGATTTTATTTATTTATTTGACAGAGAGAGACACAGCGAGAGAGGGAACGCAAGCAGGGGGAGCGGGAGAGGGAGAAGCAGGCTCCCCGCGGAGCAGGGAGCCTGATGCTGGGCTCGATCCCAGGACCTGAGCCGAAGGCAGACGCTTAACGACTGAGCCACCCAGGCGCCCCGAGCATCCGACTCTTAATTTCAGCTCAGGGTTGTGAGATCAAGCCCTGTGTTGGGCTCCATGCTCAGTGGGGAGTCTACTTGAAATTCTTTCTCTCCCTCTCCCTTTCTCTCTCGCAAATAGATGAATCTTTGAAAAAAAATTAAAAAGCTCTTCCCTTGGTTGGAAAGAAAGATTGGAAATAGATGAAATATGAATCTGTAGTCAGTAATGAGTGGGTCTAGAGTATGCTGTTGGCAGGGCTCCAAATGGAAGGCATTTGGTGTGTGTGGAGGTGACTTGGATCAGTGAGATTAGCTGTGTGCAGAGGTAATGATTCAGCTACGTGAATTATTTCTGTTTGTACTTGACTGTTTAATTTTTCTTGATTACACAAGTGATGCGTGGGTATGTTGTTTTTCTTGTTTAACATTCAACTAATTCAGAAAACTATAGAGTAAAAATGTTAATGTTTCCCTTCACATTCTCCCTGCCAAGTGCACATAAAATACAGTGTTGTGCTTTTCTCTAGAGGCCTCTGGTGTTCAATAGCAGTGGGGCCTTGCTTTCATTTTTTTTTCTTAAAGATTTTATTTATTTATTTGAGAGAGAGAGAGCATGAGTGGGGTAGAGGGAGACTGACAGACTCCGGGCTGAGCAGGGAGCCCGCCTTGGGGCTTGATCCCAGGACCCCAGGATCATGACCTGAGCTGAGGGCAGACGTGTAACTGACTGAGTCACCCAGGCACCCCTCATTTTTTTTTAATTATTGTGATAAAATGTACATACCATAAAATTGTCCTTTTAACCTTTTTTGAGGGTACTATTCATTGGCATTAAGTACATTCATCTTGTTGTGCAACCATTACCACCATGCATC